TGTGTCATAACATCCACATTATATTCATTAAAGGGAGGATGTGGACGTGTTTGTCAAAACCATTTCTGAATGCTGTCCTTCATGTTCTCCCGGCAGCTCATGCTATTAGTGTCGGATCGGCTTCCTGTGTAAGTACTATTAAGCTATATAGATTTTAAGATTTTCAACAACAAAAAAACGGAAGGAAAGTATGTCACACATTAATTGCATATGCGTTACAATTTAGTATGGTAGACCATGGTACTGAACACTTTCCATACTGTAGTCGGTACCACTGTACATTTTACTGTAAGTATTGTAGTACTTTTACACTATAGTCTACTCTAAAGTTTAAACTACTGCTGGTACAGTCAGTGTTACACTTTTACCCAAATCTATTAACTTGAATTGAGACTGACAGGAAGTTGTTAGTCTGGTCCTGTATACTGTCACTGTAATGGTGCAGACTCAGACCTAGAATGGTGCACTTCACCTAACTTTTCTAAGGGAAAAGGTGTATTTATGCGCTGTCTATTTTCTATCTTGTTGCTTTTCTCTCTGTCTTTTTGTCTAACTTTCTTTTAATTTAATATTCAACAATATTATTGATCTTCCTGCATTGACACTATTATACAAGAACTGAACTGAGCTGGATGATGACATGTTTTCTACAGAGTGGGTATACTGTATATATAAATTAACTAAAAAGAAACTTTTTTACAAAAACAAACACAAGGAAGGAGTTATCACGTCTTGGGCAGACTCCAGTGTTGCGTGTGAAATGTCTTTATCCTAGGTACATTGGCATATATTTCAGCATGTCATGAATATAGTGTCATGGGCCTTATATGTTTTCAAACGTCAAACGATCGCGTAGCTCACTTTTACAGGCCAGCGTCTTTATAGTAACGTTAGCCTATTGGCTACTGTTTTACACAATAGATATGCTAATTCAATTCAACGTTTGTTGGTAGATAATAGCCATGTCGTCAATATTAATATATCAAGCTACCATAGATGAATCTGCAAATTTGAAAAATCAATGTGCATTATAGCTTGAGGCAAGACACTTTCACCAGACAAATAAGTAACATAGGATAGTATCATGACCGATTATTTTGTCCATCTAATCATGTATTATTTACTTGCAAGAATGTAGCCCCTACCAAACTCAGTAATCAGTATACTTTCACGTCTCGAGCTGGCGGGGCTGCCCGCCCCGGATATGGGGATGCTTGAGTGTGTTAAGCGCCCTCAAAAGAAAGCAATACAGTCTACAGTGGATGCGGTGAGGGGCGAAGCTACACAACACATTACCAACATTACCAGCTCTGTTTCTGACACACTTCACATTTGTTTTTACTTGCTGCTTCAGCCATGACAGCATACAGATGTAAAAAAAAGTGACGTATGGCGTAAAGCAGTCGAATTTTGTAGTTCTTTTTGTGCTCGGGTTCCTACCCACACCCCGAAGTTACAGAGTGCTAGTAAAAGCGATACAGACCACGTTAGGCTATGGCAGACCTGTCATTCAACCTATTGCAAGTCGATGTACCATCTCAAGTGTTTTGGAAAAATACTATAAATGTTGAAAAAATGACATAGTGCTGCTTTAAGCTGGACCGTGGAGCAATTTTCTTCTAGAAACAAACTTTGTTGCATTATTTTCCTGATATCACTGTGAAGCTGCTTTGAAACAATCTGTATTGTAAAACTGTAAAAGTAAAGGTGACTTGACTTTCTATTTTCTGCCAAACTATTTCTATGGATGTATGTATGGACATCTCTCTCACACACACTTTTTCATTCACTCTAGTAATTATTTTATCACCCGTATATCAGTAGCACTCTATAATCTATAGTAATGATCAGAAAATCACCAGAGTTTATAATCAGATATGGATTAAGAATTCTCACTCTGATGCTGCTGCAAAAATCCCCTGAAACATCTCAGTACTTCTCCGAGCCGCATAGCTCCATTCAGGCAATGCACCTGTTGTGTGAAACGCCTGTCCAAGTTTAACGCCTCTAATTTATAGGCTGCAGCTGCATATATAACTCCCCATCTCTTAAATGAGCAGTCTTTGCAGTTGTAGTAGTCGCACACTTAGAACTAGGACACTCGTTTTATGTTATTAAAGTTATTAAAATGCAATTCTCACGATGATTACTTTTTTGCACCGCACCAGCCTAGTTTACAGATTTACACCTTAATTATATATTTTTAAACAGTAGTTTTGTCTGTCATAGCATGTGACTAAGCAGTATCCCTTGTAAGTCATCTTCCTAAACATCTCCAAAAACTCTTTGTTTAACAATCTAAGTGAATGAAGCACCAGCGTGTGTTGACCTGTTTTGAAATTCCATGGTGAGAATGACAGTCTGACTCACTGAACATTTAACTAACGTTTAACTCACTTTTAAAAGCTCTTGTGCTAAATTACACGCTGTTCCCAAGAATTTATTCTCTTTTCTTGTCATTAGTAAGCTAGAGCTTAGTGAGTCAGTTGGTGCCTCCTTGGCCAACTTAGTGCCTCCTTGGCCTCGTTCACATGCTTTTCTTGACATCTAAAACAAGTTAAATGCATGATAATGTGGTGTTAATGCACTTCAAGAGCATCAAAAAGTCCTGGCAAACCTGTTCAAGCTTTAATGCAGTCGAATGAAGGAAATGCTGTAGGTCACATTGCGTACTTACAGGAAAACAGATCAAAGATGAAATGAAACCTCATATTAGCCTTGCCTCAGTAAATAGAGCTGGAGCAAACACAGCATAATTTAGCAAAAACTGTTGAGGAAAGGTTGAAAGGCTAGAAGGGAGAAATAAAAAGCAATGCACACTCTTAAAAATAGAAGTTGCATTGGTGTTTTTTGCATTAATTCCATAGAAGAACCATTTTGGATTCCCAGAGAAGAAAAAAAATAATTTCTTAAAGGTGCACTGTGTAAAATTTTTGAGTATCTATTAACAGAAATACAACATGATATCCATAACTATGATTTCAGTGGTGTATAAAGAACTTACTTAAACCGTCATGTTTTTATTACCGTAAAACATAACCTCGGGCACCCCCTTCTATGAAGGTCGACATATTGTGACGTCATGTAGCTGAATGCAAACAAACAGCGCTACAGAGTGTGTTTCGTCACTACCTTGAAAGAGAAGCAGCAGAAACCTAGAAGCTAGCCATAAACACCGTGAGTGGTGTCTTTTCCCTTGTCAGTGGTGTAAAATATGTAGTTGGACTGTTTCATGTAACTTACTTCTTCTCCCTCTCTGTGTTATGGCTTTGCTATGTAGGATAAATGTGCTTACGTTCGTGAGAGAGCTGATTAGTACTCTTCATTGACTGTAAAAACAGTATGTTACAGGAATCACCAACCCGTCGACAAGTCGATATTTGGAGCATTTCAAGTCGATCGCAAAGAGTTTAACATCAGAGAAAAAAGCCTATTGTGTGTAGTAAATGGTGGATTACTAAAAGCGGATTACTATTATTATTTCAGCCTGTTCTCATCCCAAGGCGTCATATACGACGCTTTTGCCAAAGCGTAGACATCCAACGCACATGGCACCCTTTAGCGTCAATATGAGATGCAGATATATAAGGGGCAGAAGGCGCCTCCTAGTGGTCTAACCCTAACCCTACCCTACAATACGTTATATTGACGCTAAAGGGCGCATTGGATGTCTACACTTTGGGCAAAAGCGTCGTATGATGCCTTGGGATGAGAATGTGTTGATTATATTATATATTAAAACCCTTGATCCTCACCTGACTGTGGCTTTGTAGACTTTATCCATAATGTGGTTTATAATGGACTGTGTCTGTGGTACAGAAATACTGACAATGTTACACACTCTTGGCTTACTCTATTCTCTGCTGTCTCAGACGATGATATGTTTGTCCCGTTTTAGCCACCATAGCTTATTCAAAAGGTGGGTGAGGAGTGAGCAGTGGGCTGAGCCATAGACAGTATAAGAAGTGGACAGAGCGATCTCATTGGAACTCCATTGAGACGATTGAAGGCCGTTTTTGGCGATTTTTTAGCACTTCCGTTCCTGACGCGCAGACTCAAACAGAGCTTGACGACGTTGACGTGACGAGAGCAACCCGTCTGTCTTCTAGTGGTGTGGCATGAGAAATCTGAATCATTCCCTTCCAGACAAATTTGCTAGGTATTCTGATAAATTATTTTGTCATTTTGCCTCCAACGTTTCCCCGATTGCACGCGAGCTTCTTCTCCTGTCCATACGGTAATCTCTCTACTGTGCGACAGAGAGTCACGTGGGTATGACGCAATCGTTAGCCTACTTTCACTAAAACTGCTTCTACGGGGTCATAACATAAGCCACAAGGTAATGGAGCATTTTATACATTGTCGTGTTTCTTTAGAAATAAATAAAGGAAAAATGGGGTCTTCAAACGCCTCAGATGTAAAGTTATTCGCTGTCAAAGTGACGCCAAAATGAATAGGAGTCAATAGGAATGCTAACGCAAGTGAAGTTCTGCTACAAGATGGCAGCTCCCGCGAGGCTTCAACTTCCGGTCGATGGATTACCCCCTTTGGCTGAGCCCTTAGTGAAAACTTGCAACCGAACCGCTAGATGTCGCTAAAAATCGACATCTGCACCTACACTGCACCTTTAATATGAAGAAAATTTTACAACCCAAGAAACCTTTTTCCAACGAAACTTTTGAGTATTGAAAAGGTTCCATGGATATTACATTTTCTTCATGGAATATAGATGCTATAAAAAAAAAAAACCCTAAGTGCAAGTGACTGGCCTCCAGTAAAAACAGCTGGGGGGTAATTTTAGAAACAAAACCTTTCAATTCCTCAGTTCTTCTGCCTAAGCGAGAGTGATCTTTACAAAAGATACTATTAGTAGTTCCTCCCCCTAATGCACTGTAGAAATTCTAGAAACTTAATTAGAGGACATTTTCAGTTTTAGTACCACTTAGTCATGCCCATTCATCCCCATAAACTGATGACTTGCCTCCCTCATTTCCTCACAGACCTTCAGAACAGCTGCTAGTCAGCCTGTCATTCTCTTGTTGGAAGCCTGAAACCGGAGCCACGAGGGAATGGCAAACTTTTCAGGAAAAGACCTACTCATTCTGCCCCCCGTGAGCCGACAACTTCTTGACGATGCCGCTTTGCTGTGAAGAGATGGAGATCTGCTGTTGCCTGCGGACAGCTGGCTTTTACACAAGGGGTGTAAAGATGTGGAAGAGGGTAAGGAATGCTCTGGCATTTGGAGTTCAATATCAATATCAGGCACCGTACTATTTTTATTTCTCACAAATATGTTATAATGCATTTCTACATGCAATTTTATCTATATTCAGTATTCAGCTGTTGAATCTGCAATGTAACCAAATTAAAACTCACAAAAACTTTAAATATTGTACTATTATTATATACTAATATACTTGTGATCTTCAGTCCAATACTTATAAATCATTTATAAATGATAAAATGATGATTGCAATTTGGGGAATTGGTACTGGGTGCTTTTTGTGCGATTATTTACATGCATCTTGCCTTTACAAACATACTTAGTTTGAATAGGTACACAGACTAAGCCAGTTTTGTTGTAATTGGCATCTGCCAACCCTATTTGGCTGAATGAATAATAAACTTTTTCTATTTTAAAATATTGTTTTGTCATTTTTGTCAATAATTCAATTGTAGATTGAATTTGATTGAATTGAATAATAGTCTATTCTACACTTTTTGGGAGGTCGGATCGGATCTTCATTTCTGTAACTCTTTGCAAGGTCCATGTGAATGAGCAGAAAGCTGATGAATGAGACCTTCCTCATCATTGATGGTGCTCTATTACGTGTGCCTATCTGTGATTGGACGGGGCAGACTGGAGCACATTCCTGTCCTATCACGTTTCACCAGGAGTCATTTGATGAAAGATGAGTGGATGAACAGCCTGCTGCGAATGGCTGACTCTTCTGTTTCACAGAACGGCGGCCTCACATGCATGCATACACGCATACGTCACCTTGCTTGTCTTTCACAAACCCCCCCCTGCTATAAGGTTTCACGGGATGGGGAATGTTCTTTTTTTTTTTTTTTTTTTTTAATCTCTACTTCCTTTACAGCCTGTTCCATAAATAGTAGGGTTTATTCAGCTCCGTTGCTGACCAGAACTGGTTTTGGCCTGCGGAACCACATCATTACACTGCAGTTCTGCTCTAGATTTCTAGTCCTAAGTCAACAGATCTTCACGGAAACAGTTTCCAAGTATGCAAATGGTTCCCAGAGGCTTGAGTTCAAGTTTGCTGGAATAGCAAATTTGCTATGGTGATCTTGAGAATATTTCCAAAGTTTATATACAGAAATTACATGTTCCTAACAAAATACACCTGCTTTGATAAAACATGCCATTTAGATAAAAAAAAAAAAAAGTCTAGGATGCAGTCTAAATTACCTGAAGGGAATCTCAAGCTCTTTTATCTTGTGGTCAAGTGGCACTGAGGGCGAGGGCGCTTCTGTCTGCGCAAGTGCCGGAAAGCACCGGAAAGTCCCGGAAATGATCTCTCACGCGTGTACGTCACTCATTGTTTACACAGAGATTTCAGAAGTGTTATGCTGCACTGTGAAGATCTAAACATACTTAGATATACAGGAAATTGCAATGGAAGATGATTTCGATACTGTATATCAACAGACAACGTTGATTTTTGTGTACTTACATTTACGAGTCATTAAATCATGACTTATCTGTTCATGCTCTTTGAGGTGGACCCCATAAACTTCCATTATATGACTGACAGACAAGAACGGTTAAATTGAAAATACTGTGGAAACAAAGACACCTACATCTTGGATGCCCTTGAGGTAAACTAAAACATATCAAAAATTCATTTCAAAGTGAACTATCCCTTTAAAAATGCAGTCCGCAGTTTTTCCATCTCTGTTTGAAATCTGCAATTGCAGTTAATCGTGGAATTATCAACTTCACGTGAGTCACAGCGCGGATGAACACAATGTTTGAGGGGACTGTGAGGCTGTCAGTCACCGCGCCAATGTGAATACTGGCATTCAGAATCACAGATTATTCTTTTTGGGAATATGACCAACACAATAATTTTCAACAGAAAATGTCATCTGAACACGTAAGTATCATTCACTTTTGCTCTGGTTCTGACATTGCAGTAAATTGTGCTGATTAAATCTAAAAATCGAAAAATAAGCGATAATCATATCACACAAAGCCGTGCAAATTATACTTTGTTCTCAAATTGTTAATGTTGACAACGAAAGCATTGTGTGACTATGTAATGTCCTTCCGATATGTAATTGTTTTCGCATGGGTCCAGTTGCAGTTTCTTTTTTTCTGTAGCCCCTCCGAAGTCTGAACAAAGTCTTTCACATTTTACAGCGAGTGAATCTGTTGTCACTGTGATTGTTGTTTGAACCTTTCTGGATCCGCCATCAAATTAATAAGTTTAATTAAATCAAGTACTGTGAGAAAAGGCTATAAATCTCCACCTCCAACATCCTCACACGCAATATAGTCTACTAGCCGAGACTCCCCCTTTATGTGTACAGAATAGATGTGACGTAATGACGCAAAGACGTGCTCGAATCTCCCACGGAAATCCACCAGTACCACTGGAATTAAAAAAACATTATTACAGGCTTACCGCTTTGAATCGAGATAAAGCAAGCAGATAGTTTTGAACACTGGCTGGTTATGTATTTTCTCAAATATGTATTTTGGATAATTTTAAACTCCAAAAAAATGCGGACTGCAGCTTTAATCACTATATAAGTTCATGATAATTACATATAGAACACGGTTCAAAAGTTTGGGGTCAGTTCACCATGTTCACTCATGTTCACCAAAGCTATTTTATCAAATATACTAAGACTACCAAGATACAGTAAAAACAGTAATATTGTGACAGGTTATTATTACTGTTTAAAATAAATTCAATTATAATGCATGTTAACAATTTATTTATTCCCGTCAAGGCATAGATGAATTTTCAATAGCTGCCACATGATCCTTCAGAAATATTTTATATGTTAGTCAGAGTACAAGTAGAATTAGTAGAAGATAAAACTAGTAGATATGTTGCAAGCCATGAGTTAAACTGCCATGAACTAAATAAGCCCCAAGGCTCAACATGTTACAGCTCCAAAAGGAGCAAATTGTAATGTTTTATTAACAAAGTTTGGGAGGAGCGCGTTCAGATAATTAACACAAGTGGAGAACACTCAGCAATCAACGATAAGAGGTGTATTTCAGCAGTCTCACCTCAATTCGTTGACCGCATCCCTCCACCACCCCTTCTCCACACTTCTAGTCCTAACCATTTACATCTAATTGTATGCAAGTTTGAACTCGTGGAATGGGGTTAAATGGGATTTCACCTTGCTTACAATGTTAACACCAGAGTATCATATAATTTCTTTTATTGCAGCCCATAGGTCTAAATTATATCTCTATCTTTAATATTTCAATTGTTTCTTCTACACGTCAATGGACAGCAAATGTAGGCTTTTGGTAAATGTGTCCCTCTGCTTTCCTGACTTCCCCAACATCTCAGATGTTATTCAGTGAAGCGGGAGAAAGTGTCTATCTTTCCTGGGACTCACTTATTTGAATGGCACGGCAACTTCTGTAGGTTTATTATCATAAGTCCCCATATATCAGGGTAGATATTGAGTATATGTGTGTGGGTGTGAACATGTCAGGCCGGTCCTTTTTTACATAGCCTCTCCCTTTCATTCACATTCCTGACAAAACCTTATCGCCATCCCAGGAATATCTTACAGCCAGCATGTCTTTGCAACACTATGCATCGGTAGCGATGCTTTCACACCCTTCAGCCCCTCACATGCTCTTATTGTTGACACATATGGTTTGTGAAATTGCAATGTAGTATTTTTTACGGACGTCAAGGGATAACAAATAAATGTAAAAGACTGGTGAAATACAGTTTGTAAACTCTTGCGTGTGAGGAAAAATCAAATGTGAAGTGCAATATATCATCAGGACACCATACAGAATGACCTGTCCAAGCACAATACACACTTTGTATTTCATATATTGACAGATTTTTAATCTAAAAATAGGTTAAACCTTTATCAGTGTTACAGCGGTACATCCATGAAAGAGATGAAAAGCCTTATTGTATTCATTTGGTTGTAAAGCAATAAAACAAAATGAACACCATTTCCTTCTATTTTATATTGAACAGTTTGAAGTTTTATGGTTCTGTGGTTTTATTGTTGATTGGCGGTACTATTTGATCAGGTGAAGAAAGATTCCATCCGGCACTTCATGACACTTTGACACATCATGTCAAGATTCAGGCTCAAATTGTGAAAGAATGGTTGGGAGGAGCATGACTAATCTTTTTCACACATGAATTGACACCTTTGAGTTCAGACCTTGATTTCCATTACACAAGAGTATGTTAAACTCGGCTTTCACCAAGATAAGCACAAACTAAGACGTAGCTTTACAGTAACCTATGCTTCTCCATCCATTTACGCTTCTTTCCATAAGGTGGTGTGACTCCCCCTTCTGTCCGGCGTTAACGGCTGCAGTGTACTGCAGTGCACGACGGCTGCAACTACAGTAGCCCCTTTTCCACCAAAGCATTTTGAGAGCCGGTTCGGAGCCGGTGCCTGTGCGCGAACCAGTTCTTCGTGTTTCGACAGCCAAAGAACCGGTTCTCGGCCAGGAAAACTGGTTCCAAAGGGGCACATACTCTTTGCTGGACTAGAACCGTTCTTTTACCACGTCATGCTTACGTCGGGGGCTGGGGTGGGTTTAGATGTGTTCTAAACATCTTTTCTGACCTTAATAAAGGATCGCAAAGCCAAGAGAAACATTTGCAGAAACATGATGGAGTCCGCCTTTGTAATTGTTATGCTTGAAGTTAACGCAAGTGTTTCTATTTTTGTATTTTTTTTTTAATGAAGACATTATAAGCAAAGAAGAAGTCACAATATAGAACAAACAAATGGAAAGAAAAAAAGACACAATTACAGGGGTACATAACTTATCAGAAAAGATTACATATCAAACGAAAAGATTAAAAGACTTACATATTTCAATTGTTTTTACAGCTTTCTTGGTACACGAGTTAAAGATTATCCAAAAGTAATGTTGTATTTGCAAGCGTTTCTAGCTAAGACGTATGCATACACAGTGACGTAACGACGTCGTTCCCTGGGCGCTGTAGTCAGTGGAAAAACAAACAGGTTCTGAAGCGGTTCGCAAGTTGAACCAACTCCGAACCAACTTTGAACCAGGACCAGTTCCGAACCAGTTCTTTTTTTGGTGGAAAAGGGGTAAGTGTGGTCTCCCTAGCATGACAGCCATCTGGATTGAGCCGAGTAGGGGATATCTCTAGGGTCTTCAAGTGGGCACCTTCCGTCCTCAGTGTTTCGTCGACAAGCCCACGACATCTCAAGAGGGCTTGACAGTGAATCTGAGTGTCCCAGAGTCACCGCTCTCCATCCCCCACTCAACTCAGCCCAGCTTACTGACCTCAACATTCCTCCTGCTGCTGAGGCTGCTCCCTCCTCTTAGTTCACATGTAACCTAACCATAATTTATGCGCAACCCAACCATATGCGCCAACCTGTTTAACTAAGGCTGTCGAGCCCCTCTGTCTTC